CAGAGACATTAAGCAGTTGAGAGGCAGTAAAACAAAACAAAACAAAACAGTGAAATCTTTGTGGTGAAGTCCCTTCCTCCGCAAATCCCAAGAGCGGGATCCATCTCCCCGCCGCAAAAAATGAGGATGTGTTGCACGCACCGAGAAAAGAAAAGCAAGACGAACAAGGGAATGGGAAGTCAGCAAGATCGAAAGATGATGTGACGCCTGTTACCAAAATAATCGGATAATAAGGCAAGACGAATTAGCTGGAAAAAAAGACACATGATCTAACATGAAAGAGGAAACTGAAGAGATGTGGGCTTTACGAGTCACTGAACAAAGGCTGAGTAATGATCTCAAAATTTCCTGCATTTCACGTTGCCCAAAGCCTGCAGACTGCGGCCCACAAGAACGAGACATTTGACTAAGCTCTTGGTGGGGTGGGGAATCTACTGCAATCAAGCGTGTTTAAAAGTGATTCTCCTCCTACCTAATACAATAACCCATCGAAAATGGAGGTGACCTAAAAAGGGCTGCTTCTCCTCTCCTCCTGTAAGTTCTGCAGCCCTTGGCGAGGATATTGATACTCTGATATCAATACTGTATATTGATATATCACTAGATAGATAGATGCATAAAGTGGTGTGTGTAGGGATAGATAGCTATACTGAGAATATTGATGGTTTCACAGCTGAGTCAAAAGAGGATAATTCATTCTCTCTCTCTGGGGGCATTAAGCATCCTACTTACAGGATTTCTTGTTTTCCTCCACGTATCTCCTGTAGCGTTTCCTGCCTCACTTCATTTTTTTGGCTGCTGTTCGTGTGTTTACTAATCTAGTGTAGGCCTTTAAATCAGTTGATTAGGAACATGGATACATGAGCAAGAGACCATAGGCGCTGAGTCCAAACCAGGGAAATGCAACAGGAAATGACCAGATCCTGTTCCTAGGCAAGGTGATCTGAAAAATGTCTTGTGTGACTAGCGGAGGAGAAGGAATAGAGGTGAAATAAAACACAGCTTCTCCTACTCCCCAAACTGGAGACAAATCGTTCCTCTAGTGAAGATGGCACTAAGATTTAACCAAATATGGTGCTTCCCAAATGACTGGAACTGAGCCCTGGAACAGCTTGTTTAGCCTTCAACATCTGGCCAAGAGGAGAATCTAAGATGGTAAAGGTGTATTTGCTGCTCCCCGGTGTAAGATGCTCCTCAAAAGAGTCCAAATACCAAAGTGTTTCTTATGCAGTCAAAAGTCACTACTGCCAGAGCATTTTCAGAGACTCTGTACGTAAGGCTGTGTAGCTGCAGGCTCTGCTGCACTGAATCGGAGTTGCTCAACTTTGTCCTAGTAATGCCCACCCAAAAACCTGCTTCGGCTGAGCTGCGAGAGGCATGGGCTTTTCAAGCAGGAGGCTTTGAGTTCTATCCAGCTGTTGATGGGCAGTGCCAGATGAGCAGGGTGGGCCAGGTGAACAGGTTTGTTATAGTACCTGGCAGAAGCTGCACAGGGTCAGCTGTGCATTTAATTAAGGAATGGTCCCCTCTCTTCAGAAGATAATAGTGCTTCCTTTAAGGGAACCTGGCTGCTTCCACACTCTGTGGGGCTCTTTCTGCTGCGGCTCTACCTGTGTGTCTTAGGCATGCGCATAAGCACTCTGCTGAACTAAAGCAGGATTTGGGGAAACACATAGGCCTTCAGGAATTCCTTCAAGCTTGTGCAGCATTTGTTCCTTTGGATGTGATCTAGTTCAGTAGGATGTCAGCTTCTTTCTGGAAGAGTACTGACTAGTCGTTCTCACGGGCCCAGCACGTAGGATTCCTGGTTTCTATAACTGTCTCTGCCAGTGGTTTCCTCTTGGTCTTTGGGCAAGACACTGCCTTGCCGTAAAATGCAGACAGACCTGGTCCACCTCATAGGGAAACTGTTAGATGTAACATTTCAAACAAATTCTAATTCCATTTGGAAAGGTGCCATAGCCTTACGCCACAACTATCTGTCTAGTATTTTAAAGATTGTGTCATGATTATACAACGACATCTGGATGCTGCAATGAGATTGGTGCTCCATCACGATAGACATGGCACCAGCTGATGGCTTCATTAGTCTAAGTCACTGGAGCTGGCCCCAAGCAAGACGAACCAAAGGGGGGTTTGGAGGTTTCTCAAAACAGACCTCAGTGTTCCCTGGGTGT